ATGTTTTTAGTGAATTTTTCCAATTATCGATATCATTTTCTTTATAAATAGGTCATTATACAACTCTTAGCTTAACATCTTAATTTTAATAGTACCTAAAGCTAATGCTAATGCATAATGCGGCGGTCAAAGCGATACAAATTTGATAAGCGCTAGAAACTTAAATTATACAATTTTATGGTTTTGTTATTATTTCATCATTATCATCATCATCATCATCAGCCTATCAGACGCCCACTTCTGTGCAAAGGCCTCTTTGTCACATAGAGAAGGTTTGAACATTAATCATCACGCTTGCTCAAGACGGATTGTTGATTTCAAACTTATAATTGTGAAACTATAAGTCCAGGTTTCCTCAGGATGTTTTCCTTCACCGTATGTCAGTGATGTCTAAATACTCTCAGAAAGTACATATGACTCCGAAAAAACACATTGGTACTTGCCAGGTTTGAACCCGCTCCCTCGGCAACGAGAGGCGGGCCCCTTAACCACTAGCCCACCACTGACTTACTTGTTACCATTTATGTAATTCAATGGAATAATTTGAAGTAAAGAGTAATAATGCTATAAAAAGTTCTGTGAAACAAGTATTCGCCAACTTACTCATTCTCGGATATTCCCTCTGCAATCCCTCAATCTCGAGTCAGTGAAGAATCAGAATAATATTTCATTTAATATTATGTCTTATCACAATATAAAATATATGAATATTCAAAACATTAAGTTCAATCAATTATTCGGTAGCAAATACAAAATATATTGGTACATAAATCTAAGCAAATAAATATGAAAAGTTATATATAAATAACATAATTCTATTAAATCTTATATTTTGTAATATTGTTATACTGTTTTCAATATCAAACAGATACTCGTAGTGCTCTCCAATCATTCGACTCAAAGCTTGAGATATTGAACACACCATGATAGTAACAACTTAATCATTCTTTCCTTAAAAACAACTAATTTATAAGTAAGGAGCCTAAATCTAAATTGTACTGACTTGCTTAGCACTTTGAAAGCAGTCTCTTATATTTTATGTAACTAACTGTAATCGTCATCTAGTTGCTAACAGTAAAGAAAATAATTATGAAATAAAATGCAATATACATATATAATAGGTTGGGGAAAAAGTCTTTTCGCGTTATAGTATGTATGAACTTGTAATAAAATCTCTTTGACCGAAGTATTTGTATCTGGCTGGTTTTGTTATCATTAAAAATTAAAATTTTTAAAAAACATACTTAATTCCAAATACAAATAAGGCAAATGTATGATTTTCATTTGTTCTTCATACTGTCAAGATGAGTGAATCTAATGAAGAAATTCGATACTCTACTGCGAACAACTGATGAGATTAAAGCAAGAAGTTGAGAGAAAGTGGCCGGAATTGATCAACAAAAGGGGTGTGGTGTTTCATCATGATAACGCTAGACCTCACACATCTATAGCCACTCAGCAAAAATTAAGAGAGTTTGGCTGGGAGGTGTTAAAGATCCGTCGTATAGTCCTGACCTTGCACCTTCCGATTTCCACCTATTTCGTTCACCTCATAATTCTTCAGGTAATATTAGGTTAACATCACGAGAGGACTGCCAAATCCACTTGTCGTGGTATTTTGATGAGAAGTCCCAAAATTTTTATAGCAATGGGATCATGTCCCTACCTACAAGATGGCAAAAGGTTATCGGACAAAATGGTGCATACATACTTTAGTTAAATTTAAATAAACTATATAAAAATTGTTTTGATTTTTCTTAAAAAATGCGAAGACACTTTTTCCAACCTATTAGATACTTAGGAAACACACTTTTAATTTGAAAAAAACCTCTCAATTCCCGAACGCATCCGAAGTGATATTAAAGCGATGACGCTTGGTTTGTCGACTTTTACGCGGGAAAGTATTTTGTGAACGCTATTTGTATTTTTGCAACTTGAATTTAACTTATTTAAGGTATATTGGGTTAGGATAGTAATAGGTTTGTTTAGTTAAGGTTTTTTTGTTATTTAAAAGGAGTAGCTGTATAAGAAAACTATATTTTTTAAGAATTTTGTTATAATCCTAAATTCGAAAGTGGGACACTATTCACGTTCACAGTTATACAATTTATGTAAAATGTTTTTGATTATATGAAAAGTAATAAGTATAATATACCACGAATTATATTTTCAAATCTATTTTAACAATTACTTGCGTGTGAATATGACTGGTAATTAACATGAATCTCGCAAGTCGCAACGAGTCGCGTCGACAAGACAAGGACCGTTGGTTTTGGAACAGAACTCGATCTAAGAATATAACTCTTAAGATCACGATTGAGAAGTAGAACACATTCTTTTTCAGGCTAACCTATCACGTTTCAATGCATTGGAAATTTAACGCTACCTCAGGTAAAGCGATAAAGCATCGAAGTTCAAAATAACGACACTGGGTTGTACACTCTTTCACTGGGAAATTAAAACAAAACGAAGAAGCAATTCAAATTGAGGCATGAGTGCAACAGGTACAAATTTTCTTTTATTAATAGTACACGCATGCGGTAAGTTTTATTTGCTATGTTCAATTCATAACCATATAGGGGTGGTTAAGTTCATGTTTACCAATATAGTCTCACTCTTTGGCTTCGTAATATCTGACCGTGGGCGAATTTTCGAATCTTTAAGAGTTTTTAACTTAACTTACTGAATTTGGTAGCATTATTTATTTAATAATACACAAAATGCATAATGCAAGTTGTCAGGTATAAAGAAAAACGTTAGAAATTGGATATGAAAGATAAAGAACTTATATTTTGATAGGCTATGCAGAGAATTTAAAAGGCTGTAGGGTTTATAATACTGAAAATAACTCAGTTAAAACTAGTAGAGACATCATTATAATGTAGCCAATCAAAAATACAGTTAATAATCCCATTGAGTCCAAGGCTTCAGTGGAAGAACAGAGTGAAGAAGAAGAAAATGGTGATAGAAATACTGAATGTAATGGTAATAATTTCACATATATTTCATAAGCTTCTTTACTAAGTGACTCATATCAGAGTGTTTCTGATATAGCATCAAAACCAGACTAATATTATCATCATCTTATCATTATTAGACTTGAGTCAGGACTTTTACAACAAACGATTGAGAAAAATACCTGATAGATTCACCTACAAATATTTGTGTATTGCAGAGTCAGATGATGAGGGATATTACATACAGGGAGCTCCAAATGAAACATTGAGTATATTTTAGAGAACAAGTATGGGGGAAGAATTAGAATTGTTTAAGATAAATGATGCATGAGAACTTTTGGATAACTCTTGTCATTCTACAGTAGTGCAGTACAAATGGGTGTTTAAAAACAAAGTATGATAACATTGGTAATGTGCGTTACCATGCAAGATTAGTGGCAAAAGGGTTTTCACAGAAAGCCGGCATATACTATCATAAGACTTTCCTCTGTGCTGTAAAATTAGGTTTAGATATACACCATCTTGATGTAACAAAAGCTTTCCTGAATGGTTTTTTGCATGATTCTGTATATATGCAAAACCCTGTATTGTATGAGGATGATAATAATAATGTAACAAGGCTTAAACATGCCATCTTTGGTCTTGAGAAGTCTTCATATGCATGGTATGAGAGTCAGTGATCGCTTAAAATCTTTAGGTCATTTAAAATCTAAGTATGAACCTTGTTTATATACAAAGTTTGAAAGAAATGTTAAAGTGCTAAGTGTATTAGTTTTTTTTTGTATTCTCTAATTGTAAAATGGCAACTAATCAGTTAATACAAGTTTTAAGCAGTAAATTTAAAATAAAAGGTCTAGGCCAAATAAAGTAATGTTTAGGCTTAAGAGTAAAAATAACTCTGGATCAAGAACAATATGTAGAAAGCTTTCTGAAATCATTTAATATGTTACATTGCAAAACTGGAAACTACTATGGAGATTAATGTAAGGATAGAAAAATCTAAAAAGAAGTTTTTGTGATAAGAAAATTTCATATAGACAACTGGTAGGTAATTTTATGTACTTAGCTGTCTTGACCAGACCAGACTTAGCTTACAGTGTATGTTATTTGAGTCAGTTTAATAACTCATATGATGAAACTTGTTGGAAACATTTAAAAGGAATTTTAAAGTACTTTAAAGGAACTAAAAATTTGGATTTGTTTTAAAAAAAAGGATAATTCTTATATACAAGGATTTAAAGATTAGAAAATCTTTTCTGTGGATTTTGTTTTAAATTGTCTGGGTCAGTAATTTCTTTTGAATGAAGAAAACACAGAAATATAGCTTTGTCTTTAGAAGCAGAGTATATTTCCATGTGAGAAGCCAGTAAGGAAGCTTTTTAATTAAAAAGACTATGTGTTTAATTTTGAAAATGGAGGTAACACAGAAACAATTATTTATTAGCTACTTTGTATAATGTTTGCCAAAATGCAACAAAAAATTGTTTTGAATCCATTATACCATAAGAGATCTAAACATATACATAGATGTTAGATACCATTTTGTGAAACACTCAGTAGCAGATGAGTTTGTTAAAATTGATTATTTATAAACTGTTATAATTTCAGCTGTTATTTTATCAAGAAGTTTGGTTTGTTTGACCCCATCATTGGTTCATGTGGGGAAACTACACAAGCAGTAGCTGAGTACATGGTATTTGTGAACCGAGAGAGGTGTTCGGAATCATGCGCGGTTCTTGGGAGTGAAAACTAGTTACACAGAACAACTGCTGACTGGCTTCGACATAATCATATATTGGACTAGCGATTCAGTGATGCTTCCGTACATGGTAATCATTTTCATATCATTCTCAAAATATCATATTATTGAAGTGTTGTTTCGCGATTCAGTGTTGCTTCCGTCAACCGCAGACAGTTGGGACGCCTTCTGTCTGGTTTGATTACAGATGCAGGCCTGGTGTGCGTTTCGACGGAACCTGGCTACGAACAATGGTGTAAACAGGAATACGAATTTTGAGGGTCCTCACAGACTTTTTTTTCATTTTAATTTTCACACGTTTCAGCACTGTCACTTCGACCGAGTACCAATGCGGCTGGATGTAATGGCGGCTCTCCATCCGCAGTGGCGGCCCTCCAGCCGCAGTGGCGGCCCTCCAGCCGCAGTGGCGGCCCTCCAGCTGCAGTTGCTTCACTGACAACTGACCGTAACGAGAAGCGCGCCGAGGAAGACGCTTTGTCAGGATTGGCCGACTTAGGAAACACACTTTTAATTTGAACCGAACTTTTCAATTCTCGAACGCATCCGAATTGATATTAAAGTGATGAAACTTGGTTTGTCGACTTTTACGCGGGAAAGTATTTTGTGAACACTTCTTGTATTTTTGTTACTTGAATTTAACTTATTTAAGGTATATTGGGTTAGGATAATAATTAGTTTGTTTTAGTTAAGGTTTTATTTGTTATTTAAAAGGACTGGCTTTATAAGAAAACTATATTTTTGAGGATTCTGTTAGAATCCTAAATATATAATATATGATACGGACTTTAGTACATAACATAAAAAACCATTTACTTCATACATTTACAAGTAACATGTTTCTTGGTAGGGATATGTGATTTCTTACTGTAGTGATACTCTTTTGTGGGCATAATATCTTATGTTCTATCAACATAATATAACATGTTAGGTTTATTAATATTAAGATTCCGTCCTAGGTGTTTTATTTTAAGTAGGTATTTATTATGTATGGATGACATGGATATGTGGATATATGGATCTACGAATTTTTGTTACATTTTTATGCAAACACTACTTACCATAAAATCTTACCATAACTCAGCTAAAAAATCGGAGCTGAACATAAGGAATGATTTATCCCAAAATAAAACTTAGTTCTTGCGGGATCACCGCAAGTAATATAGTACCTAACAGAGACGAAACCTCTTAGCATTCAATGGATTCACCGTGCGGGTGCCGGGTCCATTGCGTTGCAGGGAGAGGAGCTTCAACAGTGCCTGGGACTTGCGACCCAGGTGTAGGTTTAAGGGGCCCCTTAACTAACGCGCGTTATACGCTCACCTCCACTGTCCAAGTTCCTCTCCCTACCTAACCAAATTTGAAAAGAACCTACTAGGGCTGCCTTCGACGTACGTTCTAAGAATGAATTAATGTTAGTTCTGGACAGGCCCAAGTCTTTTTGTAGGTTATAGAGAGATTTAGCTGTTATACCTCTCGCTCCCACCTCTACCGCGTACAAATCAACGACGAACCTATTTCGAGTTAGTTCGTTAGTGAGCTCGTAATACTTATTGACCTTGATGGCATGGTCTTTGGGGATGTTGGTTTCCCAAGGCACCGTAAGCTCTATCATCACAACGCGCTTTAAAATACGCGAATATAGAAATATGTCTGGTCTGGAGGCCGACGCACAAATATCCTCGGGGATTTTGTATTGTTTCTCATACGTATCCATCATGATAGTCCAATCCGAAGCCGCTTTAAGGATAGAGTAAGGCTTGACGTTTGATTTTATAGCCCTGGTGCCCTCTCTCACAAAACCTATTGATCGCTCGTTTGTGGTTATTTCCCTTTGCGCTCTGGCTACCGAAAGACTAACCGCTTCACGTATGATCTCTAAAACCCTATCGTGACGACGCGAGTATTGACCGCTGTCCAGGAGAACCTTACATCCCACCAGCAAATGCTTGGCAGTTCCAACTGCCTTTCCGCAGATATAGCAAGTTTTTTCGGTACCTTTACCCCATCTTACTAAATTACTCTGATCTGGGAGAGTCATCTGGAACGCATTGAGATAAAATTTTAGCAAGGCTGGCGACCAGTCATGAATTAGGGTGCGCCATTTTAGTGCTAGTGGAATGCAAAAATCTCCTATGTCTAACCACTCGTTCTGCATTTCTAAACTCATTGCATGGATTTTGTATTTATCGTTCTCGTCTTGCCGAATAAAAGACTTCAATATATCCGTATCTTGGACTTTCCTACTTGATCCTAACCCTACTCTGTTATTTTGCGCTCCGATCATAAATTGTTTATGGAATTGAAGTCGTGACTCTAGCTCTGGGGCATCATTGTCTTTTGGGAGTGATGTAACGACGTCATCATGGGATTTTCCCAGGATATGTCTCTTGGAAACTCTTAGGTGTTTGTAGAGCTCCGATGGTCTTTTTAGATTCATCCCAAAACTATTACGATCCCTGAATAAAGCCGATGAGTCAGCCGTTAGCGCGAGCCCGAGCCACAACTTCAACATCTTTATGACGCCTGCATCTAATTTAGATAAAAGGGTTTTACTAAAATCATAGACGAGGAAAGGCCAATTCAAACGTGAAGTTAAGTAATTATCGTAGATCCATGCTTTTTTTACGTTACTGATCTGCTGGCTATCTACCTTGTTAAGATCATTTAAAAAGCTATCTACTATTCCTTCTAAAGATGGAGTACGACCTATATTATCAATCTTACGACCGAGAAACTTGAATGGTGCATCTTCCGTAACCGTAGAAACGCATTGACCGCCTATCGATAGTCCCGGATCGTATGAGGTGTATCTTGTATTCCGCCTACCAAGACACAAACAGTGACATTTACTTGGTTTTGTCCTCAATCCATCCGTCCACTCACAGAATTTATCCACTTCATCCAATAGTACTTGACAGTGTTTGGGGTGACGTGTCAGTATTGCGAGATCGTCAGCGAAGGCTAAAATAGATTCCGTGTATTTATTATTAAACTTAAACCGATAACCCCATTTTTTCTCGTTACAGATTAATTTGTCTACTAAGATGTTAATAACGATATTAAACGTAATTGGAGATAGACAACAACCTTGAAACAGTCCTACATTATAACTCAAACTTTTTGAAGGGCCTTCTTTAGTTATTATAGAAAACCTTAATTTTGAGTAATACGACGCGATCATATCTCTAACTAGGGGTGGAAAGTTGTACCATCTAAGCGCGAATAGCATCAACTCGTGTTGTATCGACCCGAACGCGTTCTCTAAGTCTATCCAACAAACTGTAATTTGCCGCTCGCTTTTTCTAGCATCTTTCAAACTCTCCGACAGCAAGGTGTTGTGTTCTAGGCATCCAGAAATCCCGGGTAGAAACCCTTTCTGGTGATTTGGCCTAAAATACTTGTTGCTGAGCATGAATCGCGTCATTCTCGTTTGTAGGACCGAGAAAAAGATTTTAGAAATTGTATTTGTTAAGGCTATCGGTCTAGTATCCTTCGGATCGGTAACTCGATCTTTTTTGGGAATGAGGACAAAAATTGCTTTCCCGAAACACTCCGGGATTTGCTTCCTTGACCAGATTTTGCCGTATATATTTATGAGGTGTTTACGAACCGATGGACATTTTTTAAAGACTATATATGGGATACCATCGGGGCCCGGTGCAGATTTAGATGATTTCCTCTTTATGTGACTACTTATTTCGTCTAACGTTGGTGGTATGCCGTGAAAATCGATATGAGGAATTTCCGGTTTTTGTTCGTTTGGATCCGTATAGAGCCTTACACTTTTAGGCACTTCGTATGTGCTCTTGAAATGGTCGTAAATTTGATCGTTGGTCAAGAGAAGCTGTCCGCGTTCTTTCTTAAAAATGGTTTTCGAATACTCAAAAGGGTTTTTATCAAAATCAACTTCCTGTTTGGCCCGGTCAAAATTACCGCGATATTCTGCAGTTTGTGCCGATATTCCTTGAATTAATTTAAGGATTGACCTTAACGCCCTAGCTAGCTGATGACTAAGGTGGTTGTCGCCTAGAGCTTTGGCTATACGTAGATTTTTTATTAATTCCCGTTTTTTCTTCCTCATTTTTGTCTTGAACGAATTTTCTTTATTTTTGCGAGCGTAATGATTACGTGGTGGATATTGCTCGTTGAAGTAGTCATAAACGGTATTTTGGAAAGTTTCTACCTGCGAGTTCAATTCCTGCTTCGAGCCCGGATGCTCTAACAGGACCGCTAAATTGTCGTCGTGAACTTTCCAAGTCGATTGTTTCATGTTAGGAATGCTAAGACGTGTCCGGATGTTAATGGACTCCTGGTGGTTTCCAGTTAATGGTTCACCATGGGATACGTGAGGGTCAACTCTATCCGAAGTGATAATTGAAGAACTTACCAACGATTGTCGCGCTTCAACACCATTATGTGTTTTTAGGTGTTTAATGTACCAGGCTCGTCTCTTGTAATTTTTCCCGCACGTAGGGCATTTCAAGTCCGTATTCGCGCCGTTTTCGCCGTTTAAATCGACCGGTGGACAGATCTTCCGCCCCCCCTCTCGGACTGTCCCAGGGGTATTTTTCTTTATAGGACTTTTAGCTTAATAAATCCCGGGCTGGGCTTGCTAGGCCGTTGCCCTCGGCTGTCTTTCCAGCAGTCATCCGTCTTTCCGGCAGTCATCCGTCTTTCCGGCAGTCATCTGTCTTTCCAGAGTCAGCCCGACTCTCCGGGCAGTCGTTTTATATGAGACGAAACCTCTTAGCATTCAATGGATTCACCGTGCGGGTGCCGGGTCCATTGCGTTGCAGGGAGAGGAGCTTCAACAGTGCCTGGGACTTGCGACCCAGGTGTAGGTTTAAGGGGCCCCTTAACTAACGCGCGTTATACGCTCACCTCCACTGTCCAAGTTCCTCTCCCTACCTAACCAACAAATTTGAAAAGAACCTACTAGGGCTGCCTTCGACGTACGTTCTAAGAATGAATTAATGTTAGTTCTGGACAGGCCCAAGTCTTTTAGTAGGTTATAGAGAGATTTAGCTGTTATACCTCTCGCTCCCACCTCTACCGCGTACAAATCAACGACGAACCTATTTCGAGTTAGTTCGTTAGTGAGCTCGTAATACTTATTGACCTTGATGGCATGGTCTTTGGGGATGTTGGTTTCCCAAGGCACCGTAAGCTCTATCATCACAACGCGCTTTAAAATACGCGAATATAGAAATATGTCTGGTCTGGAGGCCGACGCACAAATATCCTCGGGGATTTTGTATTGTTTCTCATACGTATCCATCATGATAGTCCAATCCGAAGCCGCTTTAAGGATAGAGTAAGGCTTGACGTTTGATTTTATAGCCCTGGTGCCCTCTCTCACAAAACCTATTGATCGCTCGTTTGTGGTTATTTCCCTTTGCGCTCTGGCTACCGAAAGACTAACCGCTTCACGTATGATCTCTAAAACCCTATCGTGACGACGCGAGTATTGACCGCTGTCCAGGAGAACCTTACATCCCACCAGCAAATGCTTGGCAGTTCCAACTGCCTTTCCGCAGATATAGCAAGTTTTTTCGGTACCTTTACCCCATCTTACTAAATTACTCTGATCTGGGAGAGTCATCTGGAACGCATTGAGATAAAATTTTAGCAAGGCTGGCGACCAGTCATGAATTAGGGTGCGCCATTTTAGTGCTAGTGGAATGCAAAAATCTCCTATGTCTAACCACTCGTTCTGCATTTCTAAACTCATTGCATGGATTTTGTATTTATCGTTCTCGTCTTGCCGAATAAAAGACTTCAATATATCCGTATCTTGGACTTTCCTACTTGATCCTAACCCTACTCTGTTATTTTATTTTGTATTAAATTATGAAAGACTGATACTACGTGCTGATTATCATATTTAGCATTTTAAAATAATTTATATAATCCTCTTTGAGCCCAATCACGACGGCAGTGCGGGCGAAATTAAAGGAAATGATAATATGTAAAACATGATTTAAGACGAGTAATTTTAGTTCATATATTTTTTTATTTTGAGACAATTATACATAGATTCTTACAGTTTCTAGTATAAATAGACAATGTGTTTTCTAAGCTTGTAAATTTTCAATTTTTTCCATTCCAATTGCTGAAAATATAATAAAGTTTTATAGTACAATATTAAAATGTACAGCTACAAGTCTTAAATTACTTTCGTAAACATGTTCAGTTTTATATTAATTTTAAAACATCTTAAGTTTTTGTAGAAAAAACAACAATGAATTGTTTAAAACATCATAACTATTAAATAATAATAATCCTTTTAAAGCTCTTTAAACAGACTCGATACTTTTAAAAGCTCACTAAGAGGTTGAGGTTTAATTTAAATTTCAAATAGTTAAAACCATAAAACTTGATGATCCGCATCTTTAGATAACTTTACCCAAACAAGAAACAAGAGTCTCTTCTTAGTTTACAGCGAACTAAAACTTTTACGTTACGAAATTGAAAATATTTTACTGTACCTACGACTTAAATGTGATTGGTTAAAGGATGTTAAACATCTTTTTTCAGTGCAACTCTGATGTATGTTTATGGTTACTTATATTTCTGTTGAAGCGTTAAGATTAATAGGTATGTAAGAATCGACAAATGTTGTGAGGTTATTCATAAAAGGATTTTACGATATGTTAATAATTTTATCCTTTATAATGCCAGTATCAATATGAAGTTTATTTTACCTTTGTTATTACTCCTAACTGATACATAATTAATTTATGTTTGCAGACACCATTTTTCATATTATATACGAGCATATTAATCTTGTACTATTTATAAGCGTTACTTAATAAATAATATGTATATTCATACTAAACGAACATTATATACTTAAATTAATATACCTACTTCAAATAATACGGGATAGCTCTTTATAAGACTTTCAATTATAGGGGCGAGTCTTTATACTATATGAATATTTAAAAGTATGACTTCATTGAAGTTTTCTATAAAATAGCTTTTCAGCTAAGTCACTTGGCATGTATTTCACAGAAAGCGATGATTTTTAAAGAATATTTTATAAAAGATCCGATTATATTGGTGATTATACTGTGAGCGACAAAACATGAAAATACAAATTCCATATGTTTAAAATTTTGTAAAAGTTGTAAATAATTTAAGGTTTGATTTTCATCAATCAATTTGGTTCAATACATAAAACTAATTACTAATATAAAAAACAATATTTGATCAGATTGTATATTCATACTTAAGTCAAAATAACATAAGAAAACCTTATTATTATTTTATAAATTTGACTTATATAACTGTTATTTAATTAGGTCTCGAAAATAAACATTAAAAGAGATACAGAGCAGTGGGAATTTTGCGGTTTGGAGGCTTTACCTTTATAAAATAACTCGTTTTATTTTATAGAGGTCATTGAAGTTATTTCTGGTTGGTATACTTATTCGAGTAATAATAATAATGTAAAAATATGTTTAACATATATATATTGGTAAAATATTCGAATAATAATATTTAATTATTTTAATATATACATATTTTTACATTGTCATTATGTTATTTGAAATATTAGAATAGAACTACTAAGGAAATGTTTGTACTTTACACATAAACTGGGTTTCATGTAAGCTATTTAGATACTTTCTTAACCAAAAAAAATTTAATTAATTGAGTATGTACTAAGTTTTTTTAAGATGACAACTTATAATCACAGAACCATAAAATTGTTAAGAACAAAAAGTTATGGCTTTGCCTCTAGACCAAAAGACTTATTGACTTTCATGTTATACAGGTAACCGAATCGGATTCAATATTTATTACACTGTCACATTCAATTTATGTTGTTCAAATCTCATTTAACGTTTCTCTTTTATAAATTTATTATTTAATTTTTACCCGTTTCAATTTTCTTTTATGTCTTAATATTTCAGAAGTATTTTTATCTCAGTTTAAACATGTTCTTATTATGCAATTAGTATAAATTTGTTATCGATGACATCTATCAAATAAATTTGTTTTTAGCTTGTTTATACACTACAGCTTAGCTTTCATTGTAAATTGCAAACTCTTTTTACTGAAACGATGTTTAATAGATAGTCATTTCTTCTTACTAGTAGAAAATATCATTCAAAAACATACATAATAAAGTTGGAAGGAAAAGTCACGTAGGTTTTTAATTTTCATTGCCATTAAATAAAAGATTTGTATTAATTTATTCTATTATTTTTAATCTAATTTGTCTGTTAGAAAAAGGAAAGAAGCAATGTATTCACTTTATGAAAAGAAAGGATTAACGAAGAAAGTACTATTGGTCGAAGATAATAGATTAGTGGTCTATCTGATTATGCAACGCTTAAGTTACTGATACTGAATTAATACGTAACCAGCTGCTGCTAATGTCCCCTTTCACAGAGTAACTTATATTTGATCATTTCTATATTATAAAGGATGAGTGTATTTTCATTATTATAGTAATTTGAATCAGTAAGGCTATTTTGAAGCTTTATTTATTATTTATATCACCGTGGTTTATCATTCGGTATCATTCATATCGGCTATTATCATTATGTTATTTTTACCGCATACTAGCTTGTAAACCCGAAATCATTTATCGTAGATATAATAAAAATAAGAAAAATGATTGATTAACATTTCTTGGATTAAAAATTACCTCAACTTTTATCGCAATGAGACGAATAGATTTTAATTACATATAAAAAAGATATAATTCAGATACTCGTATAATTTTGAAATTTTATCACCTACTATGATATAAAAATTTAAGACAATAATTAATTAATTCAAGTTTTAAATTACCAGCTATGGTTAAGGGTAAGTAAATACAGCTATCGAATCCACTAAGAACATTGAAATTGGACCCCTCCCTTCACGTACCTATTCATACAAACTCTTGAAAATAGGCTTACTTACTAGCAATACATTATTTATTTCAACCAAAATCTTCATATACCAAATGTCCTAATAGATAAAAGAACAGCTAAAACGAAACTTGATTTCATTGTAAGCTAGTCTATAATATAAAGTGTGGGCGGAGGTGCCTCTTCAAGTAAGAGTCTCTTGAACGCTAGAGGTACAGTCGGGTTAATACTGCCATTGCTTCGAGTACACGGAAAATATAAGTAGGTATGCCAATAATGGTGAACTTTTAGTTATATACCTAACATCTATTTTTTGATTTGTGAGTACACATTGTAGGAGGTTATAGTAACTAAATACTAGTAACACTGTAATATTTACATGACAGTTTATAACCTTGATACAAAACCGTCGCTCTATATCTTTATATATATAATTCTTCTGTGAGTGTATGTCACTGAACTTCTCTCAAACGACTGGACCGATTTTGCTGAAATTTTTTGTGTGTGTTCAAGGGGATCTGGGAATGGTTTAGATTGACAAGTTTATCCGCTGGACAATGTTTTTTTAATCTTTATATATAAAAATGAATTGCTGTTCTTTAGTCTCACTAAAACTCGAGAACGGCTTTATCTTATCTTAGTCTTGAAATGTTCGTGGAGGTTTAAAAGGTGAAAAAAAAGATTCATTGCCGGGAAAACCCTAAAAACATCCCTTTTCTATTTCCCTTACAAACGTTTATTTTTTGACATTAGATTTGACAACTAACTAATATGTCAATCTTTCTGTCGCGCTTTAAAACACGTAGATTTATGGCTTAAAGGTAAACTCCAAAAATATAAATAAATAACAGAGTGATAGGAAGTTCGCCGGGTCTTCTTGTAGTGATATAATATTTTTCTTCCAATTTGTGTTCTTTATGGAGCTAAAATTAATATTCAAAAAGCATCCAAATTATTCTTTTCCTGTATTTTTTAAATTTCCTTATATATTACATTTTCGAGTAAATTTTAAACTTATTGAAGTCTAAAAATAGCTATCCCTACTAATATTATAAATGCGAAAGTAACTCTGTCTGTCTGTTATGTCAATGTCAATAAACGATAAAATGGCCTTTGTTTCAATTTCAAATATTTCGCAGCATATTTTTATGACTTTTTTTCAGGCACTTTATTCTGTATTTTGATGTTTAAATATATATATACAGGGTGACTGGTGAATTACTATCAATATTTAAGGAGCATATTCGGTACATGATTCTCATTCGAATTATGTAAAAAAAATAGGCACTTAATTTTTGACAAAATTTCCGTATAAATAAGTAAAGTGTTGACACGTTCCGAGTGTTCCAAGTGTGGACGCGTGCGGCGGCGTGCTGATACAACACTACGTCACGACACGCGTATGTGTGAGTGTCAGTGTATACCTAATCTGTAGGGTGTTCACACGATGCGTAATTAATTACATAACTTTTGGTTAACTTTACTTAGAAGTTTATTAATATTTATGTTATACTAGAAGACCTGGCGAACTTCGTATCGTTTTTTTATTTATATTTTTGGAGTTTACCTGTAAGCCATAAATATCCGTGTTTTGAAGTGCGACAGAATGATTGACATATTAGTTATTTGTCAAATCTAATGTCAAAAAAAACGTTTGTATGGGAAATAGAAAAGGGCTGTTTTTATGGTTTTCCCAGTAATGAATCAATTTTTTTCAGCTTTTATACCTTCCCTGAACCTCCACGAACATTTAAAGACTAAGATAAGATAAATCCGTTCAGCTGTTCTCGAGTTTTAGCGAGACTAAGGAACAGCAATCCATTTTTATATATATAGAAGATTAATTTTTATT